TTTTTTAAATCTTTAACTTCAAATTGACAGCCATAACCGAATTTATTTGCCAAAAATTTAATTATTTACTATTATAACTATTGTACTATTAATAACGAACAAATGAATTTAGGGTTGGGGGAATTAACAAAAGGTGACATTATAAAAAAATAATTATAATGTAAAGAAATTTCTTTAAGACATACCTATTTAATTAGTAGTCAGTGCCGACAAAACAGCGGTAACTCAATTTGTATATTTTTATTCATTTTAAAATTTTAACATTACACTTGGAAATAATGAGTATAATGTTTCATTTCTGTATAAACAGACTGTCAAAAATTTAATATGTATTTACATATATTGAACTATAGACATCCTACAGAATTACCCCTTATGACTCCAGAGCATGTAAACAGAGGTTTGGAATGGGTGAAAATAAATGGAAAAATATAAATTTCTGGAGTATATGTATTCTTGGATGCATATCAGTTTTAAAGATAATAGAGTGTCATTTTTGGAAAGCGCTAAAAAAGTTGCATAAAGACTACGTCATACCCTGTGTTAAAGCATCTATTGCTATTAGATCTGTTGATTGGAATTCGTATGTCTTCTGGCATGCTTATAAACTTCATTTATGTATTCAAAATATGAAAAGTAAGCTTACATTTTGGCGTATTTTATACTTTATGATATCGCAGAACAGCTTGCTAATGAACAGTATGTTTCAGAATGTCAATTCTTTCTGTCATAGATTCTTAAGCAGAGAATATAACATAGCCATCATAATTAATGTTTATCGCAACTATCATTATCAGAAGCTGCTTTTGCTAAGGCATACCGCATATACAACCTCTTTAACATTATTCTTGCTGCTAAGCCTTCAAATTCAATCAAACTGGAGGAGAATTCGCTCCTCCAACTTTGATGTAAATCAGCAACGTTCCAGTTCTTGTAAATTCTCTAAAAGTAATTCGCGAAACTAAAAGTCGAATCGGTAACTATTTTAAAGTAAAAATAATATGTAGGTAAATGAAATAATCCCTCTCATTTCCTCTAGATTTAAAAGGTGAAGTGCGAAAATCTTAAAAGGTTAAATCATTATTATGTTCACTTTTGAGCTTTGCTCTTAAGACGTTACATTCTAAAATTGGCGTATTGTTGAAATTGACTGTATTTGTTTATAAACAGACAAGGAATATCTGTAGCAAAGCATGAAATCGTAATCAAATCGCAGATTATAAATACTATTTGGTTGAAAAATTGTAAAAAAGGAATACAAATTTGTGGCAACAGCTTGTTATTTGAAACAAAAAATATCATCTACTACTTTTAAACATATTCTTTTTTCAAATTCTCACACGTAAAAGGATTGAACACGAATTGAAGGATATGTTTTGCGTATTCCGAAGAGAAATATTGCTATTCCGTAATTCAAACATGTTGTGAAATGCATGTTACTAAAGTTTCTAACTGCAAAATAAGTAACATTATTATTCGAAAAGAGGGAAACCCTCAATCATTATTTCTACATCGAATGAAGACTCCAAGCGAATACCCGAGAAAGATTTGTTTCTTAAGTTAAATCTTCGGTTTCAACAGAAAATCCGCCAACGCAAAAATCAATTGCAGCCTTAAAATACCTCTGTAACAACAATAAATAAAATAACAAATCGAGATTTACAGCTTAAAAAAGCTAAGAAGCATAATGCCACCAACAGTTGCCGAAACATGTTGTTCAACTCAAAACAATTTGTAGAACTTTGTGTGAACACTCTGTAGCAGGAGATAATGGAAATGTATTGTGACCCTTAATGAAGCACGGTTTTACATAAACGACTGCAACAAAAAAGATCTGTTTATAATCGAAAACGAAGATAAATGTTCAAACTTGGTTCCGTCGGTTACGGGCGAAAACGTCGTCATACAAAACATCATGGGAGACGAGAAGGCGAGGAGGAAAACATCGCAGTTCTAAAATATCGTGGTGCGAAACATTGTCGAAAATAAAGCCATTCAGAAACTTCGCGGCGTAAAATATTGCCGTCAAAATTAACCATAGTAAAACGTAAAGCACTTACAAATTATCACTTGATAACTTCGCGGACATGAGTTTCGTAGACATGAGTTTTTATTATGCAAATATGCATTTTGTGACGTGAATTTTTAGAAGTGTTTTATCTTCCGAATTAAAACTGAACTTTGTTCCATTAATTGAAAAATTTAAAAGTAATTTACATTCTTCTTAATAGTTCGTATCTTTATTATTAACATTATCTCTAACACAATTTACAAATATAATTCAATTCTAGCGAATAATGACGTATTTGATAATTCCGTAAACATCTGCAATTTTACTTTTTACTGACATTATTAACTTCATTTATTCGTTATCGCGATTTTATGAATGCATTTTCTACAGTGAAGGATAGCTTCGACTCGAAAAGTATAAAATCCATAGAAAATCACCCTGCATTAAAGTTTTTTTTTTTTTTTGTAGGTATTTATTTTGGCTGTGCGTGTCTTTAAAAAACATAAAGAAAATACAAACGGAGGATTTTCTAATATAGAAAGTGATTTAAAAGTATTTTGCAGGCATGTAACGGCAGGTATAATATACCGAAATAAGCAAATTTTGTAATGGAGTGTATTTGCGTGTTAAGGTGATACAGGGTGCTGTTCAATGGTAAGTAAAAAAACTGTGCTGATGTAGATCATCATACCCCTTCGCATTTTCAGAGTTATGCATCATTGAAAAAAATGCGAAACCTACCAATAAACATTTTGACAGTGGATCTGCAGCTAAAATGGAGCAGCTAGTCAAAGATTGTGTATAGCAGAATTCCTAATCACTCCTTTTCAGCAGCTGTTCCCTTTCCGCGAGTAGCCACTTGGATAAAATGAATATCTTTTGAGTTCGTATAGCAGTGCGTACGCTCGAAATTCGTACGATTGAAAACTAGCAGAAGATTTTATCTACCGCTCAACAGCACCATGTTTCACTTCAACACGCCATTTACCATGATTAGAACTGAGTTAGCCACGATTTAATGATAATTTTCAAGAATTCAATCGAGGTTCAATAGCATTCTGAAAAATAGTTAGAAGCTGGAAAATAATTCAGTGTCCATGGAAAGTTAAATCTTGAAGTATTGGATACAAAACTCGTTATATTATCACTTATGTGTGTGAACAAAATATAAAATCTTTAAAAAAAATTGCTGGTTAAATAAAATTAAATGCATTTTTGTAAGGATGAATAAAATTGTCTCCGCTTACGCACTTTCGCCGTTTGGTTTCTAACTGTAAATTTATTAGCGATCTTTAAGCGTTTTTAAAAGGAAATGCAATTTAGTTAAATGCCCTGTCTTGAAGTTATCAAGACCGTAATGGTTAGAGAGGGGGAAGGAAAACATTTTAGTGCAGTTGGTCGTTTCCCTTCCTTTCCATCTGTAGTTGGACAACATCGCTAATCTAATTATCGTATCTAGATTTTGACTAGAATGCAATGTTAGAATAAACAGGACTTAATTTTTAAAATTAGAAACGCCAAAACTTATGGGAGACAGTCAGGAAAAGTAATTAAATATTAACAAATCAAGTTATTAATTATTAATTATTTAATCATTGTTAAAAATTAACAATAATTAAAATGTAAAGAACTAAAAATTAATGTAATAAGTTAAATTAAATAGCAACAATTAAATAATATATAAAAATAATCGGAGCTCAACTTATATGGTACTTAGATTTAAATTACGATTTCACTGAAAAACTGAGAAGTCCCGGAGTTGGGTTCCGGCTAAAGCTCTGGGAATAAACATTGTAATTTTCGGAGTGATGATAAATTGCATCAAAGCAGCTTTAATTTATTATGAGCTGTAATTTTCAAATTCGAAACGAAATTATTTAAAAACTTACCCATGCATGTAATTAAGGTGAACCCAAAATTATGGAAGGAAGAGTTGAAGTATGTATAGAATTATTAAAAAAGACACCAAAAAGATGTGTTTTATTTCTCAAAGGATTTCCAACTACTTTCCTTAATTTTCATAAATATTCATAGTTAATTCTAGAGAAAAATACCAGAAATATCTTTAATGTCTAGTATTATCAGTCTTAAGTATCTAAATGAATTCTGAATGTCTGAAAACAATGGGAATTATGGGTAGCAAATACTTGAGAATGAAAGTAATGTGTTTTTTAAATCTTTAATTAACTTCAATTTGATAACCATAACCAAATTTTAGTTGCCGAATATTTAATTATTTACTATTATCCGATTGAAATGTGCGAAAGTATATTGTCCCATGCCAATGATACAAAAAATCTTAAATATGATATTATTTCGATATAAAACAAAATTCCTACAATTCTTTAAATAAAATGTTCAATCAAAACAATTGAAATATATATCCAGCTAAGTGAGGCCAAGAAAATTTGCAAGCAGTATGAAATTTCATCGTTTTCTTCATCTGTTGCTTCCGCTTTTTTTTTTTTTTTTTAGTATTTCCTTAATAATGCTTCAAACATTTTTATTAACTGAATGAAATCTCGAGTAAATTAAGATTGAATTATTATTGTTTATGACAGTGTGTCCGTCGTTGTTACTGAGAGCAAGCGAGAAACGCCCAATACTTCCAACTGGGCTGAAAAACAAAAATGATAAAACATCCGGCTATAAAAATGAAATGAAACCTGCATGTTCTGAAGCAGGTGTAAAAATTATCAGAAGATTTTTGAATTGTGGAAAGGGAGACGAGAAGGCACACTACAAAGTTTGTTTCATCGATTTCAGTTGTTTCCTTCAGATAACATAGTCGTACGCAAGCACGCTATAGCGCAATAGGTGAAAACTTCGGAGTTCATTATATTTGTTTAGAAAGTGATCCCCGGAAAAAAAAAATTCAGTGCGTCATATTAAGTGTTGAAAACCCTACCCATGCTTTTCTCAGCGCAAAGGTTACACCCGAACGCGCATGTGCTCGCGTGTGCGGGGAGAAAGGGAGAGGGAATGCCCCCATTCTAGGGAGTAGTGTAGTGGTTTTGCGAAGAGGGTTGGGGATCGGCGCAAGGGGGTGAAATGTTGAAGACTCGGTCGCCAGAGCTGTAGCGCTTGGCCTCTTTAGGCCTCGCGTTTTTCCGCTCGAAAAGAACATCAAACCGATGGAATTTCCCTCAGTTTCTTTCATTACAACAACAACATGCTACATTAATATTTCTGATGTAAGAAAATAAAGGACAAGTCAAGAACAGTAAGTGCAATGCTGCGTTTTATTTCTTGTTCTACGTTTCGAAATTTTTAGGCTTAACTCGGTGCGTGTTTAGATTTTCAGGGATGGGCGGTGTTAAAAAGCGGCCGCTGTCGTCGTGTACATGTACGTCTTCCAAATTTGGTTAATTATAAATAGTTAACGACGATTGATTCATAACAGCTTTACATGTAAAAACTTTATTAAAAGGAATCAGTTGAAGTAATCTCTTGTTACGTAGAATCATATACTTTCTCCTTAACTGGTTGGAAAAACAAAAAAGAACTCGAAAGTGGGCGTGTTTTGCGACCACCTTATCTTATGAGTACATGCCTTTTAAAATTAGTTTTGCACATTTCCGTGCACATTTATTATTTATTGAAATTGAACTTTTGTTTTACGTATCCCGTTTTGCAAAAAATGTTTTATGTTATAATGATAATAATCAACACTTAAAGAAAAACGTGTTGTTTACATTTCGATGAAATGTTAAATACTTCATATTATGGCTTATTTATTAAACTGAATAAAAATAGTATTTCCCTGTTTGAAAGTTTTATAAACTAATTTCTTGAAAGTAAAATAAACGCTATTTTTGCAAGAGAAAAACGATGAAATAAATATCCTTTACGAATACAGAAAGGTAAACATAGCAACTGAAAACTTTAGAATTGCATAATAAAAGTATTTTACTCAGATGGCATTTGGTGGGCTTTATTCTTAAATTATAATACATTTATTTGATAAAATAAAATCGTTTTATAGTTTTGATTGTATATTCATTCATTTGCTGCCACCATTTGTAATATTTTCAGAGTTACTATAATAAAAAAGTATTTTTTTTCTTTTAAATTTTGTTATGTGCAAAGAATTTAAAAATTTTTTTAAAATAATGATCAGAAAGTGAAAAAAAAAAAAGTTCTGTGTTCTTAACATATTATTTCTTGATTTATACATTTTGTAAACTAGTGTACATATATATTGAGCTTTGTTCAACAGGTGCTGCAATGGAATACTTTTGCTTCTGTAATACTCTAAATGGCTGAGAATTATTTTAAATAATACTTTTTAACATTTGCATACAGAAAGTAATAGTAACCGGATTTTGTTTAGTACATAGGTAATTTGAAGCATATATAAAATTGCTGGAATTATTGGAAATAATGTATCATAATATTTACAGTTTGAAGATATTTTCAGTTTGTGTAGTGGTTCACATTTGTTTTTGGTTACTTGTGTTTTATAAATTCTAAGAATTGGAGAAAATTTAATAGAAAAAGATTTTACAAAAATTAAAAAAATAATATATTATATACTATTTTTTACCAATTTCAAAACCTGCTTGTTGTAACACAATATTTCTAAAATAAAATATTTTTTTCCTAGAAAAGCTATAACAAACTTACATAAGGATGTAGGAACTCAAAAGTTTTGTTGAGATTTTTTGTAAATGATAATTTTTGTTACATTGATTGATTCAAGTGAAAATATATTGCAGTAATTATTATCTGTTGTTTACAATACTATAAGTTCTTCAGTGAATATCTAATAATTTCAAAACTGAAGTGAATGCGATAAGACACCATAAAATAAGTGTAAGCTCTGTTAAAAATTTAACTATGCATTTTTAAATTGACAAGAAAAATAGAAGTAATGTAATACGCTGAACTATATGTGAGATTACAAAATGATGGATCTTGAGTGGAGCATTTGAAACGGCCTTAAAATTATGATTGAGTTTCGAGCTAATACGAAGGAATCAGGTTTATCCTGCAGGAAATCGAGCAGAATGCAAGGCATATTGTCCTAAAACTTGAAGCTAAATTAGAAAAGTAGTTTGCAATGAAATTAATGGTGGAGCAATGAAATGACTTATTGAAACATATTGATATGACGACTTGGTGGTAAAAAAAAAATACAACACAAAGTCCATAATCCGGATTCGTCGTTACTTCAGCGATTCCGAATTAGGGGTTTTTCCGGATTCTAGATCATCAATTTAAATCTGGTAAGATGGCATGCAGAAATTATACAATTAAAAATATGAAAACATAATTTATGAAATAAAGAACAATTATGACCTAAAGGGTATCAAAATTTACAAAAAAAAAAAAGCTTAATATTTATTTGTTTACTTTGACATTTCTTTCAATGTAAGTTGTTTAAGATGCTTCCATAAAAAATTCAAAAAGTTCCTTTTGCTTGTGTCATATATAGTGGACTTTCCAATGCCATACTTTTCGCATAATTTTGAGACCTATAGGCCTTTATCCATTTTTTGCAGCAATTCCACTTTTTCTTTAATGGACATCGAAACATGCTTTTGCTTTGTAGATCCTTTGGCAGCTCCAGAATTGGAAACTCTTTTTGACATAATCGAAAGTTCAAGTTTAATTTTTATAAAATTGTTCTAATAGTCTGCTAAAAATAATAAGCCGGATCCAATTAGAAGAATAAGGAACAGTGCAATCTGCAACATTAACTGAAATACCTTAGATAATTTTATCCTAGCTTATACTGTCCATTATACATTAAACACACATGCGTAAACGCGTTATGCGCATAAAGTTTGTAGCTTTGAGGTCGGATTATATATATCATTCTGGATTATGGACGTCCGGATTACAGACTTTGTACTGGATTCATCATCAATTGGGTTTTAGATTTGAACATCATCCAAAAGGCATGTTTTCAAGTTTAATATGGTTTATCAGTAGAAATAATGAATACACATGGTCCAGGTAGAATGACAGAATAAGAGTGAAAAATATGTGATGTGATTCTGTAAAATTGTTTTAATGTTTTTAATTAGCTATACAGTCAAAAGTCGTTAATCCGGACTCATCGGGACTTCTGCGATTCCGGATTATAGATCATCAGTTTAAATCTCGTAAGATGGCATGCAGAAATTCTAAAATTAAAAATATGAAACCGTAATTTATGAAATAAAGAACAATTATGATCTAAAGGGTATCAAAATTTTAAAAAAAAAAAAAAAAAAAATAAAAAACCTAATATTTATTTGTTTACTTTATTAAACATTTCTTTCAATGTAAGTTGTTTAAGTTGCTTCGTTTTATGTGATAATACTTTCTCTTTAATTCTATAAACAGACATAATTTCTTGTTCGGTTACAAAGTTCCGCTGTTCAAGTCCCGTTAATTGCTGTGCCGAGAATACCGACTAACTTGTCAATCAAAATTTTTTCGTTTTCACTAACCTCTCTGTCACATTCTTCATGTCTTTATCCATTTTTTGCAGCAATTCCACTTTTTGTGTGTTGGACATCGAAACATACTTTCGTTTCGTAGATCCTTTGGAAGTTCCAGCATCGGAAATTCTATTTGACATAATCGAAAGTTCAAGTTTACTTTTATAAAATTGCTCTTACAGTCTGCAAAAAATAATAAGCGGGATCCAATTCGAAGATTAAGGAACAACGCAATCATTAACATTAACTGAAATAGATAATTAGATAATTTTAGCTTATACCGTCCGTTATACATTGAACGCGCAGGCGAAAACGTATTCTGCACTTGCGCACACGCATATGCGCAGTAGTCAAGGTGCACGCGTAAAATGCCTGTGTGCATGTGCCAGCGTGGCCGCATGCGCAGAAAGTTTTTAGCTTTGAGGTCCGGATTATAGATCATTCCGGATTATGGGTGTCCGAATTAACGACTTTTGACTGTATCATGAATTAAATGCATTATTATTCCAAAAAGTTTTTAAAAAAATATCACTATTCCTAAAAACTGCATCTATTGCTTTTAAATAGCTTAGTACATCAATAACAGACATTAAATTTAAGATAAATCTCTTGCATTTTGCCACGTGGCAAAAAAATAGAATGAAAAGTGAAATGGTGTAAAATAGAGTTTTGAGACTGCCTTTTTTTATCTAAAACATTTTACCTTATATTTGCACAATCCGTGGTAATCAAAGATTAGCATATTATCAAGTTGGTATAATGTCAGTGTTGAGACAAATTAAAATTTAATATGCTTGAATTCTGTAGATGAATTGGTGGTGTGTCTGCAGTGGACGTGGTCAGAGAGGATACTTCGAAACTCATTGTGGTTATAGTGGACACATTTTCCCCCCATCTTAGAACAGATAAAGAGTGCAGATAAATAAGTAAATACTTTTAAAAATCACAAATATAATTTAAAACAGTATTTTAAGTAGCAAATCTCTTTCAAGTGTGATAACCTTTTTTTAAAAATAATAATAACTTTTTTTTAAAATAATAGTTTTCTGTTTTGCACTCGATTATTGAATTGCAAGGCACTGGAATTACTCTTGGCACAGAGGTATGTCGGTATTTTAGTAACGAAATCATATCCTTTCTGATATAATTCTGAAAGTTCTTGAAATATCTGGGGAATGGGAACTGATGTTTCTTCTCGGACTCTTTTCTGCAAGTCTCTAATTTCCTTTTAACTTCCATCTCAGCAATGTTGGGCACACAGGAATGTTCAGTTTTCTTCAGTACTTCGTAGCGAAAATTTGTCTTTACATTTCCTTTACAAAGAATGAGTTGGGTCTTACATACCCAACTCATTCCTAATTTATTTTTTTGGTGTAAACTGTGTGGGGGGGGGTAATCATCTACAATTAAGTGTTCTTTTCCTTTTTTGTAGAGTGTAATTTTGTTGAATTGGCTATGGGTTCCCTCACAGATATTTTCGAGGCTATAAAACAACATATACACTTCATAAGGATCAAACATCTGAGAAAAACCTTTTCTCTTAAAATTATCGGCTTATCTCTACAGCAGGTGCAAAGCTCGAAACTACACAATAGATGACATGTGACTGATTAGGTAAACAGCACAATAGGTGCAAGAATGTCCGCTGTGCCCACCCAGCTACCCTCACGTATCCTGCTGTAGCCACTGTCGGCTCAGACCACGTCCGCTCTGACCACGTAACTGATGAATTACCATGTGGTAAAAGCCTAACAAACTAAATGAATAATAATAATAATAATAATAATAATAA